CTTGCTTTAACATTTGCATTGATAACAATGATAATAATCAGGAAAAACAGAGACATTAAAAGCAATCTAAATAAAGTCCAGTTTTAAATATGAAATTAAAAGTAGATATTTAAATATCAAATTTCCTTTCATTTGCAGAGAAATGTGCTGATAACAAATATCATGAAGGCCCTGCTTCATGTCACTAATAAAAGTAGTAACTCTAGGGAATGATCTAAGGTATTAGGATGTAGTAACATGATTTTTTTGTGTGTGCAGGTTAGGCTCTCTATAAATAGATGCTGTAGCCCATTTTATATGATCTTTATTCCTGCAGATAAATTTTATGTATCTAGGCTCAATTCTTCACATGCTCTTTTAATTCCTATGAGAGTCTAGAACAAAAATAAACAACAAAAATGAGCACGAAAATCTCTAATTTTAAAATATATTCAGGTTTTTTTCATTTACTTTCTCATGACTAAACTGCACTGTCCAGTTGTGGTCAATCTTTTCCTACAGCTATTAGATGGATGCAGAAATTGATTTAAATTGATTTAACAAGTCCATCACCAACTAGAAACCCAACAATACATTCTCTAAATTCCAAGACCTGCAGGAGCTGCTGCTGCTAATGGTGTATGTGAGTACCCTCAAGATCTCTCAGGTTACTCTTTGCAGGATGAGTTATCATACATAGGTGCTCAGGAACATCCTAGTAAGTCAAAACCAACTGCTTGTTTCTTTGGGAGAGAGAAGAGGACATAGCTCATTTCAAATAGCAAATTACAAAAGTCAGTGATAAAATAGTAAACAAAAGGAACTATTTTAGGAGAAAAGCAGAAAAGCCACTAGGCAGCATTCACTTCCATGCCATTTTGGTTTTTATGCAGTAGAACAGTTATCCTAGCAAGTAACTGCTGCATTACTTGGTATGCAGAACATTTGAAGATAGATTATTAAGGAAAGGGGACAGAAAACACACCACAAAGACTTACCAACACATTGTACGTAGCTTTTTTTTTAACAGTGTATAAGAAAAATATGCTGTGTTACCATAACTAAAATACTCTCTCAACCTCTTACGAGTTTTTTTCAACTTCTTTTGGTTCCAGGTAGGTTTTAGTTATCCTAGTTCTATTTTATAAAACCTTTTCTTAACAATAATGGCTTCAGGAAGAAGAAATAAGGGAGAATTATGAGCCCAACAGTGGGCTGACAGTTGTGTTGTCACTTTCTTTTGTGTCACTCAGGGTGGGGTAACGGCATACTTTTCTATAGAATAAAGCCAGACAGGAATTGCAGCTGGCACTCAGCAAAGCAGAGGGGAACATTTTCCTCATTAAAAAATCGTTGTTTGAATCCCAACTGTACATATCTGTGGTATAATGAAGTCGCTTATTTTCCACTATTTCAGTAAGGTACTGCAGCAAGCTAACGATTTTACAGGACGGTTAAAGCATCGATTTGCTGCAAATTGTTCAATCCATAACTAATGAGTAGCTGTACAGGTTTTCAGTATATCAATTCAAACAGAATTTTCTGTTTGTATAAGATCATTTCATTTGTGGACATAGAATGATATTTTTTTTTCCCCCAGTAACCTTCAGCATTCACTTTCTTCAGCTTCTATGCATGGGTTGGATAAAATCCTTCTCTTCATGGTTCAGACAGCATTCTTGTAAAATACACTGTCTATTTCTACACAGGCATACATGCATCCCAAATATATTTCCTTGTAGAAGATAACATCCAAGAAGGCAGGAAGAGACAATGAATGGAATTTAGTCTCTGTCACCTGTAGCACTAAAACTCTCCTAATTTGAAGTGGGATTATATTATGTTACACCTGTAAATGTGTGAAGCCAAAGGGCAGCAACTGTGTTTGTAATTTGGACCCACACAGGTAGTTCTTCATAACAAGCTGAAATCTCTCCTGTATGGAAAAAATAGCAAAGAGAAAAAACCTCTGTGGACTGAGTGACAACACTTTTGTCACAGACTTCTGTTACAGAAAGAGGAAATTGAACCCTATGCTTGCTAACAGATTAAGTTCTAGATTACTTCAGAACTGGCAATGCCAGTATGATTGTACCATGTGTTCTCCAGCCTTTGTAGGAAAAGGGTGAGTTCTATCATTATCAATTACTACAACAAGATCATTTTAGGCAAAACAGTTACAGGCAAGCAGTTCAAATCCTGTCAAAGAATTCATAGACTGAGAAAACATTGTATTGGTGGTTGCAAAAGGAGCAATGTGGCTCAAAGGCTGTTAGTATGGGAGTGCTGAATCATCCCACTCCAACTGCTCTTGCCTGGTGAGATTCTGCTTGCCTCTCTTTTGGACAGTCACTTCCTCCTCATCCTCCTCATCCTCCTCCTCTTCACTTTCATCCGATTCAGCACTGGTCGTATCTTCCTCCTCATCATCTTCCTCTTCACTCTCCTCTTCTACCCGATGAGGCTTTTCATATTTCTACAGAAGATTCAAAGAAATGAGAGGCTGACAATAGAAGGTAAGTCCCTTCTTGCTAGGCAGTGGCTATGAAAACATGAACCCTTATTGCACATCATTTGAAAATGCTAACATGCAGGAAAAAATTTGCTTTTCATCATTATGTGATTATTAAATATACTACAGTTCAGTAGCAAATATAACAAGAATGGAATATTAATAAGTGATAGCTTTGTTTTTTCAGTCAAGCTGACAAAATTTAACCCCTCAATGCCAGTTTATCTGAATTGCTGATCATTTCCCCTCCCTTAAGAGTTTTAATATTTACAAAGTAACTACTTCATCTTAGGTGCCTGGAGTGCAAACACGAATGGAAGAAGTTATGTTGCACCCAAGAGTGCTGCACCATATATTTAATATTTTTTTTTATTGTCAGAAATAACTGCTAAGTTTTCAATTATATATTATCATGGTGTGCAGATCTCAAAATTAAGCAGCAGTCCTGACCGACTGTACATACAACTGTTCTGCCAAGCCTTATTAAATGTACACAAAAAGAGGCTTTAAACTTGCAGCTAAGAACCTACCAGCCCCGACAATAACTCCTGGTATTAACACAATACACTACTATGTTTCAGTAACTCACCTCCATGGGGTTGACAGTAATAGTCAGAGCAGAATCGTCCCAATCCATTTCATTTTCCTTACTGCTTTCATTGTCTGTAGAGCTGTGCTGCTGGGCTGTCCGAATTCTATGGACTCCCACGGCTATGATGAAAACGAGTACACTCACACAGATCACAATTACGACTGTGGCCACACTTGGAACAACTGAAACAAAAAGTGGAAAAGGCAACACGTTTATAGCTACAGACCAAGCTGCCTACAAAACACTGAACACGTCTATTTTTCACTCCTTGGTACCTATTTCTCTGCCACCTGTCTGGGACTGCAGAGTTGGTGAAGTGCCCACCTTCCAGGGCAGAGTGTATACAATAAGAAGTATTGCAGATCTTAACTAAAAAGTTACTATGCCTAACGTTCGTGATTTAATTCACTTCATTACAGAAGAAAAGCAATCAACCAGTTCAGAATCAATTAGTTTCAAAACAAACGTTTCTGCATTTTCATCTTACCTGTGTGTTGTCTCCTTCTGACTACAGGTAAATGAAGCTTTAACATCAGCTGTGAGAAAAATATATCTATCTCCACACTTGTATTTTAGAAGGTTTCAAACACTCATACTGGGATTTCCATTGTCAAGAAATAATACAAAGCATTGCTGCTCTATTGCCTGTGTTACAGTCTTTCTTAAAGACTCCTGAGGATTCAAGACATTTTTCCTCACTGTTCTATTGCACTCTGAGAAGCCTCTATCTCCAGCTAGTCACAGAAAGACATCTCCACACTGCTCTTATGTTATCACCTCCATAGTGGTACAGATTAGTGGAAATGTAATTTTGCTACCTAGGTACTGAAGTTCCAGGAGCTACAGTAGTTCTGTACCCCATTTTGCTGCCTTGCCTGTAAGACTGGAACTCTGAAATCAGAACAAGATGAAAGAAGAAAAGAAAGGAGCACTTTGCAATAGTTGGTTTTGCAATAGCAATTAAAAAAAAAAATAAAAAAAACCCCAACCCAAACAGTATCATAACACTCTAGAATTACCTATGCTTATTCAGCTTTGTTCTTTACATACTTGCTTACCACTCAGTAAAAAGAATTCAGAATCCAGCTTTCAGACAGATAGCTATGTCCTGAGTTTAGCTTTACTGAAAAGGCTTCTTTGGCTATACATTTTAACTTACACAGCTCAAATGTTTAGTTCAAATTCTGGATTTAATAAATACTAATGCCCTCTGTGCATCACTAGGAACAAATCTCTGCAGAGAGCTCCAGACTGAGGCCTGGACAGCAGCCAGCAGCACTGCCAGATTATTTCTTGAAAAATATTACAAAAATATTTCATTTTGCCTAGGAAAGGATAGGCAGAAACAGACATGCCATAGTAATGCAGATGTAAAACAACAATATCCTTCACACTATTCAGTACTATAAACAAGATGCCCTGTTGACTAGATTGAACCAGAGTACTTAGCCTTTAATGTAGACTTTAAAAAGAATACCAGTTTTTAGAACTAAGTACATCATCAGAAAGAGAAAACAGTGTAACAGCTTTCTGTCATAAAGGTGCCATGATCAATGTCAGGTTTCACAAGATATAACTATGGAAAATTTCAAGACTTCATTTGTTGATTAGGCTGAATCATAAAGGACATAACCAACATAACAATCATTTTGAGAAGTCACTGTAAAGGCATCACATACCTGAGCTGTGAACAGTACTTTTGCTTTCCTCTGGATGGCGGACTGACTGGAGAAAGTGTGGCTGTACTATCACATGGTTTACATGGTCCATATAGTTGGAGTTGGTGCTGTGCAGAATATTAACCTGGCACAAGAGAAGAGATCAGATATTCTATCAGATATTCTTCTGTATTCTGTTTGCTGGCCCCATATACTATATTGTATTAAGAAGTTCATCAGAAGATAGGAATATTAGTATATAAACCTTGAAACTTAATTCCTAAGTGTTAATGGTCAATTGACTATAGATGAAGTAGCACAGCAAAGTAGACTCTTTTTACTGATTTATCTGTAAGGATAACTAGTGTACTTTTTTTTCCTCTTCCTTTCTTGCTCTGCTGCTGAACTTTTAGATGCTCCCAGAAAGTTATTAGCAAAAACTCTGAAGTCAGTGTCATGGCTGCATGATGCAAAGGTAAGCAGCATTTAAGTAAAACTTAAACACATACTTTTGTTCAAAACAGATTACAAAATTTTGAGCCTGTTGCTAAGGTCTTGCACTCCTGTAGTTACTTGTTACCTGGATTCTAGGCTGGATAAGCAATTTCTTCAGCATCAGTACAGGTCTCCTGCTGAGATGCATCAAGCAGCCATTTTCTGTCCCTGAGCCAGCGTGAGGCACTGGACTTATTTAGTGCCAGCAAAAATAACTTCAAAAGAGGTATCCAGATTTTCCTATAGTGACTGACCATATGTGGGTAGTATGAAAGATTAAGTCCATGCTATGCATTTAATATCTGTATACTAACTTTCCTTCTCAAAGTAATCTGAAATAATGCAAGTTTGTCACGGAGTTGACCAGATCAATCTATGTCCGTGACAGAGGCAACAGGCCTCTGCCCTCCCCCCCCCACCCCGGTCCCACAAAAAAAATGGGAAGGAAGGAAGGGAGGAAAAGAGCAGCGGCAACAATCTATGGAGGAAAACTTATTTTACTATAATATTGGAATACAAGATAACACAATATATACAATTTAATTGAAATTGAGATTAATAAATCAGACAAGATGAGAGAGAGAGTTCCCAGACCGATTCAAACCTGAAAAGCTTGGAACGGCCAGGAAAGCACCTCCAGCACCCACTGCCAGGCAGCAAGAGAGCGCCCCCCCACCCGGAAGGGCCGGATCCCGTGACTGCTGTAATGTACAGGGATAGGTAGCTGGGATTGGGGCAGTGACACTTCAATGCCCCGTACACTACATGATGTTTTGATGTGGAATACTGAAACCATAAAAAAAAAAAAAAACCAACAAAAACATAGAACCATGACATTCCACCCCTTATTCTACATCGTTACATCATGCTTAGAATATATATATATATATATATATATATATATATATATATATACAAACAAACAAACAAAAAAATGATTAAAATGCACACATGACTATATACATATACATAGAATTAGTAACTACACTCCCCCAGCATCAAGTTTCCTTGTGGTACACATTGAACATCCCCATTCTTCTGCATTACCCACCAAGTGGATCCTGGTCCCTGGGCAAAAACTGTACCACGGAGAGGTTTGCCCTTTCCAGAAGCTGGAAGAACCCAAATTGCCTTTCCTAACATGTTCTTTACATGTACAACAGGGACTTTATCTCCCTCTACGGTATGTAGGGAACTGGATTGGTTAGGACCATCACGATTGATAGATCCTCTGGTATTGACTAACCAGGTGGCTTCTGCCAAATGCTTCTCCCAGTGCTTAAATGTTCCACCACCCAGTGCTTTTAGCATCGTTTTTAACAATCCATTGTATCGTTCAATTTTACCAGAGGCTGGTGCATGATAGGGAATATGGTAAATCCACTCAATGCCATGATCTTTGGCCCAAGTATTTACAAGAGAATTTTTGAAATGAGTCCCATTATCTGACTCAATCCTTTCTGGGGTGCCACAGGACTTGTTTCTCGAGACCCAGTATGGTGTTTCGGGCGGTAGCATGGGGTACTGCATATGTTTCAAGCCACCCAGTGGTTGCCTCCACCATAGTCAGCACATAATGCTTACCATTGCGAGATCGTGGCAAGGTGATATATCAACCTGCCATGCCTCCCCATATTTGTACTTTTGCCATCACCCTTCCTCCCACAGAGGTTTCATCCTCTTGGCTTGTTTGATGATGGCACATGTTTCACAGTTATGAATAACCTGTGCAATGGCATCCATAGTTAAGTCCACCCCTCGGTCTCTAGCCCATTTGTATGTTGCATCTCTCCCTTGATGACCTGAGGTCTCATGGGCCCACCGAGCCAGAAATAATTCACCCTTGTTCTGCCAGTCCAGGTCTATTTGAGCCACCTCAATTCTGGCAGCTCGGTCTACCTGATGGTTATTTTGCTGTTCTTCAGTAGCCCGACTCTTGGGCACATGAGCATCTACATGGCGCACCTTTACAATTATAGTCTTTGTTCAGGCAGCAATGTCTTTCCACAGTTCAGCAGCCCAAATAGGTTTACCCCTTCTTTGCCAGTTATTTTGCTCCCACTGCTGTAACCACCCCCATAAGGCATTTGCCACCATCCATGAGTCAGTGTAGAGATAGAGCATTGGCCACCTCTCCCGTTCAGCAATATCTAAGGACAGTTGAACAGCCTTTACCTCTGCAAATTGGCTTGATTCTCCTTTCCCTTCAGTGGCTTCTGCAACTTGTCGTGTGGGGCTCCACACAGCAGATTTCCATCTGCGATGCTTTCCCACAATACGACACGATCCATCTGTGAATAGGGCATATTTCTTTTCATTCTCTGGTAGTTCATTGTATGGTGGGGCTTCTTTAGCACGTGATACCTCTTCTCCTGGTGGTGTTCCAAACTTTTTACCTTCAGGCCAGTCCATGATGACCTCTAGGATTCCTGGACGGCTGAGGTTCCCCATCCGTGCTCGTTGTGTAATCAGTGCAATCCACTTACTCCAAGTGGCATCAGTAGCATGATGGGTGGAGGGAACCTTTCCTTTAAACATCCAGTTCAGCACTGGCAGTCGAAGTGCCAGAAGAAGCTGTGTTTCAGTACCAACTACTTCGGAAGCAGCCCGAACCCCCTCATATGCAGCTAAGATCTCCTTCTCAGTTGGAGTGTAGCGCTCTTCAGACCCTCTGTACGCCCGACTCCAGAATCCCAGGGGTCGGCCTCGGGTCTCTCCCGAGGCTCTTTGCCACAAACTCCAAGTGGGACCGTTCTCTCCAGCAGCAGTGTAGAGGATGTTCTTTATACCCTGTCCCGTCCATACTGGCCCTAGGGCCACGGCACGGGCTATCTCCTGTTTAATCTGTTCAAAAGCCTGCTGCTGCTCAGGGCCCCATGTAAACTCATTTCTCATTCGTGTCACATGATAAAGGGGGCTTACAATGAGGCTGTAGTTTGGAACATGCATTCTCCAAAAGCCCACTGCACCTAGAAAAGATTGTGTCTCTCTTTTGCTAGTGGGTGGAGACATAGCAGTGATTTTGTCGATCACATCCGTCGGGATGTGACGACGGCCATCTTGCCACTTTATACCTAGGAACTGAATCTCCTGGGCAGGTCCTTTCACTTTGCTTCGCTTAATAGCAAAACCAGCACTCAGAAGAATTTGGATCGTTCGCTCTCCTTTTGTAAAGACTTCTTCTGCTGTATCGCCCCACACAATGATATCATCAATGTACTGCAGGTGCTCAGGAGCACTGCCTTGTTCCAATACAGTTTGGATCAGCCCATGGCAAATGGTCGGGCTGTGTTTCCACCCCTGGGGCAAACGGTTCCAGGTATACTGAATGCCCCTCCAGGTGAAAGCAAACTGTGGCTTACATTCTTTGGCCAAAGGAATGGAAAAGAAGGCATTAGCAATGTCAATGGTGGCATACCATTTGGCTGCTTTTTACTCCAGTTCATATTGGAGTTCTAACATGTCCGGCACAGCAGCACTCAGTGGGGGTGTGACTTCATTCAGGCCACGGTAGTCCACCGTCAGCCTCCATTCTCCACTGGCTTTACGCACTGGCCATATGGGGCTGTTAAAAGGCGAGTGAGTTTTGCTGATCACTCCCTGGCACTCTAGTTGATGAATTAACTTATGAATGGGGAGCAAAGAATCCCTGTTGGTGCGGTACTGACGCCTGTGCACCATTTTTGTAGCAATCGGTACGTGTTGCTCTTTTACTCGCAGCAGCCCCACAACAGATCGATCTTCTGACAGGCCAGGCAAAACAGACAGCTGCTTAATGTTGTCTGTGTCCACAGTAGCTATTCCAAAGGCCCATCGATACCCCTTAGGGTCCTTGAAATGCCCCCTTCTGAGATAATCAATACCTAGTATACATGGAGCCCCTGGGCCCGTCACAATAGGATGTTTTTGCCAGTCCTTACCAGTGAGGCTTATCTCAGCCTCCAACACAGTCAATTCTTGAGAGCCCCCGGTCACTCCAGAAATATGGATCAATTCTGTCCCTTGGTGACCCGAGGGCATCAGAGTGCACTGTGCACCAGTGTCCACCAGTGCCTTATATTTCAGTGGTTCTGATGTGCCAGGCCATCGAATCCACACAGTCCAATATACTCTATTATCCCTTTCCCCCTCCTGACTGAGGGCAGGGCCCCCCTATTCATTACCTGTGGTAACTGGAGCAACTGCACTGGTGGTTGATCTGCTTTGTAATTCTTTCACCCGGGCTCGTAATACAGGAGTAGGTTGACCGTGCCACTTCCCCATGTCTTCTCCATGGTCACGTAGGTAATACCATAAGGCAATTCGCGGTGTACTACCCCTTACTTGAGCCGGAGAGCGTTTGCTTCTAACAGCTGAGATCTTTGATGGTGCACGTGAGAAGGAAGGTTCTTCGTCTTTAGTTAGGTTGGCTCGCAAAAATTTCATCATCTTCTTCACCTCCTTCGCTAGACTCATTTGATTATCCTGATCTTCATCCAGCGTTTCTGATACTGCTACAGGTTTGTTGCGGTTAATCAATTGAGACACTTGCTCCGTCATCATTTTTGATATCGCAGCAACGGCAGCATGAATTGGGGACAGCAATTGTTCGTAGTTTTGGAGCGTAACAATTAATTCATAAACTAAGGGCGTTCTCTGTTGTTCGTTGAATCTGTCACACGCTGACATCAGTGTAGAGGCATATTTGTCCGGCGCTGTTGTCACGATTTTCTGCCATATCTCAGGCGTTGTCCTCACTTTTTCAGGGTCGCGGTTTTGGTGTGGGTCGTTAGGAACAAAGTCAGGGTCATACAACATTTCCACCACGCCTGTTTCCCTCAAATACTGGATCCCCTTTTCAACTGTATCCCATTTTTTCATTGCAATCTTCAAGCCATTTTTGAAGGGATACTTTTCCTTCACGGCTGTTAACACTCGTTCCCAGAGGGAGGCAGCCTCATCTGAACATCGACTAATTCCTCTATCAATAGCTGGATCTCT